CAGACCCCAAAACCCTTCCAAGGCAAGCTTAGCTAGCTGCTTGGAAATCCCCCTCCCAGCTACAAGACAAGAAAGGAATTGGGAAGGGGGAGGCTTACTGGTCGTGGCTGAAGAGGAGTTTGAGATTTAGCAGTGCTTCCCGGTCAGGGAACCATATGAAGAGGTCTAGGGGTTTTGGGGTGCTGGGACCCCAAGATTGCGGTACCGGGCCCTGCTGAATGAATTCAACTCAAATCTTCTTCAGCCAGAGGAAAAGTTTATTAGTGATAAATCACAGAGGCCAGGTGACGCCTGTAAGGACAGGCGGTCATGAGAGGTTCTCAGCCTTTTGGGCCTGAGATTCTCAGCCAACAGTCCCTATTCTGAAAGAGCTCATGCTCTATTTGGGTAAGACTAGACTTACTGATTTGGGGGTTTCTGTAGTAAGGCAGATAGCAAGGCCCAGGAATCCTTGGGGTTCATTGGGTTACCAATTCAAGAGTGGAATGAAGGGTCAGGGTCATACATGGAATTCTGGGTTCCCTCTGGCAGGAGTTAAGTTAGGAGTGGTGATATCAGTGTGCAGACACGAGGGGAGAGGGGGAAGGGGACATGGGTGGGGAGGAGGAATGGGGTCATGGTGGTGTGGAGCAGGGGAGGAGTTGGAGGGACTTTGAATCTAAGTGGTGTCTTTTTTAACTCCTATATTTCGTGCTCATGTATAGCATAAAAAATTTGGGACTTACTCGTTCTAGGAAGAGCCACAGACACATTGCCCATCTGGCAGTTGTTTTAACATAATCATTTCCCCCTTTTTATTATATGGTTATCACTAATAAACTGTACACACTTCTGTTGTGCTTTGGTGATTGAATTCCATTGAAAACTAGCAGTGAAGGCAAGAGGGTAGAGTTTTCGTCTAATAAGTAGGGGAAACAGAAACCACGCTAGATGACACCACAAAGGAGCTAGTTATCCTAAAGTCTGGCGTAGGTCTGGTGTTCCCCCCTGGTGTTGGGTAGGGTACATAACCTCGGGGGTTAGCAAGAGATTGCTGGCTCCTCATCCCCATCATCAAATAGGGACAAGTATTTGGACGACAGCACCCTCTTGTGGTTAAATGGAAAATACGGCTCTCCCTAGCTTTTCCTATGGGTTCTTTCCAGTCATCCAGAATAATTCTGAGGGCTCACTGTGGGCCAGTGGAATTCCATTCCACTGACTTATAGTCATGCTCAGCCTTCCATCTCTCTCACTGGCACTCTTGTCCTTGACACTCCTTTGGTCCTGTTCCCCTCCTTCCCCTTCCCTTCCCTTCTCCTCTCTCCCTTCCCCTTTCCTTGTCCCCCTTCCTCCCTCCTATTCTCCTCTCTGTCCCCCACCCCTCCTCTATCTTTCTGTCTCTCACATGCAAACACTCCAGGGCCAGTCTCTGACAACACTCCAGGTACAATCACCAAGTGCCAAGAGAACATCTTGATGTTTTTTTTTTTTTAGCTGGGACAGTAATTCATATTTCTAGGCCCCCTTTGCCTAGGGAACTGCACAGTTGTCTGGTAATGCAAGCACTTCATCACTTGCTATAAATTAGGCTCAGAAACAAACTCTGGATCCATTGATTTCTCTCCAAGGGCCCTTTTTTTCCATATGGAAACTACAAGTTATTATCCTGTTCAGATATTCCACCTATTAGCTCTCTGCCATCACGGCTCATTTTTGGTATGGGTGATCCTCACAGGAACCTATGGCATCTACCCACTCTGGCCACAGCTACCCAGGCAAAGGACACCTGCCTCTGGCTGGCTCTAGAATCCCCCTTCTTCATGCATTCTCACTTCAAGACTCACTCTTGAATCTCATTCTCATTTACTTTTCTTTTCATTCACTCTAAACAATGGCCCTCACTCACCATCATAGTGCCATAGATTTCAATCTGAAAGAGACCGGTAAGGCCATCTAGACCAAATCCTTCATTTTACAGATGAAGAAACTGAACCTCAGAGAGGATGAGTGACTCAAAATCACAACCACAGACGCAGGATTCAAACCCAGGTACTCTAACTCCAAACTCAGTGCTTTTCACTCCCTCATCCTGTGACTCATCATCCCCGTCTACATATGATATCTGCATGGGAGTGATAACTCTTCTCTCCCCCCAATCCATTTCCATAGTTTGGGAATTAATAACTGCATATAGCTGGGAAAACTCTGCATTTTTTTTTCACCAACAGATGTGGAAGTGAGCAGTGGGAGAGGAGGGGTGCTCTGAAGGCTTTCTGGGGCCAGGTTTAGGGCTGGAGGCCTGCTTATCTCACCTTGGATAAGTGGACCCCCAGCTCCCTCCTTGTGTCAATGTGACTTTGAAACCCCTCCCCCTCTAACCAGGAGAGCTTTGTAGTTCTGGTGTGGCCTGCTGAGTGCTGGGTTAAGACAAGAGAAAATGTGCCACAGGGTCACTTCTTTTGAAAGAGCCTGGGAAGAAAGGTTTCTTTTTTTCCTTCCTTTTTTTTTTTTTTGGTGAACTTTGAGGTGAATAGTTTCTTCATCTGCAAATTAGGGATAATAATACCGGCATAGCAGAACCCAGGACCTTCATCTCATGTGGGCTCTGCAGGTTCCAAGTATTTAGTGTGTCAGCATCCACTCAAAGCAATAGCTTCATAGCTCCCCTGATGCATTTGCTTTCATAAGGGCAAAGGACACATTAATTCCAAGCTCAAGGAATTTAACCAAAAAGCATAGCTATAAAATTAGTGACAGGAAAGGGCTCCTCTACAGGCACAAAAGGAGGCCTACTCCCCCACCTATCAGTAAAGAAGCCACATATTGAGAGAATACGTATGAACCTGGACAAGTGACTTAAATGGTGTCTGCCTCAGTTTCCTCATCTGTAAAATGGGTTGTTGTGGGCATCAAATGAGACAATAATTGTAAAGCACTTAGCACAGTGCTTAGCACGTAAGTGCTATACAATTGTCAACTATTATTCCTATTACTAAGAAATAGGTATGGAGAGCATACACGCAATGCACACATTAGTGAGACATACATGTAGTCAAATAGGTGACAAAGGAGCATATGCAAATGGGCACTCATGCCAGGAACACGTGTAATGAGGGCAAGAAAAGAGAGAGCCTGTATGACAAGGAAGCATGCCTCGGTATCCCATTGTCTCGCTGGGAAACACATCTCCACTCTCTTATGTCTGCTGAACTGCCCTCTGTTACCATCTGCTCATCTGCAGCTATTCAACCTTTCAGGGCCATCTGCTGGGGCCCAGTGGGTAGTAAAATTCCTTCCTGCAGAGTAAATCTAAAACCTTTTCAGTGAATAGCCCAGGCTTTGAGCCTCCCCCCCACCAACCCAAGTCAGCAGGTTAATATACATAATATTCTTTTCACTAATTTCCTCCTGGTTCCCCCTAGAAGTACTTGGCCCCAATCTACTATCTCCTCTGGGATTATAAAATCCCCTTTTATCTCCTATGAAAGCCCTATTTGTCTTTCTAAATTCCCAAATCCATTTTGAGGCCTCCTATCTGACAAAAACTCTTCTGGAGCTTTGGAGAGATGAAGGCAAAGGAGCCTCGTTCTGTGTTCCCATAACGCTCCTCAACTGGCAATATGAAAAAGTTATGGGCAGGAAAAGAAGGAAAGGGGTATAGCTGACAGGGATACTGGCCTCCTCTTTATCACTCTCTTTATTATATATATCTGCCAGTAACCAAATGACTGTCTCTTCTGATGTGCTCCATCCTCTATAGACAACACTGGTTTATCTACCCCAGCAGAGATACCTCTCCCACAAGTTGTTGGAGGACGGAGTCAGATAATGAATGCATGTAAATTTCTTGTTAAATCCCAAGTGTATAGAAATGTCACCTGTGAGGATTATTTTTGAGATATTTGATGAGGTAATGATCTATTTTTGAGGTAATCAGAACCTTGCATTTTCCTGTCTGTCATCTTCCAATTTTCCTTTGGGGGAAAGGGACAAATCTCATTAGCTAAGTGGTTATAGAATGATATGGGTAGAGCGTCAAGACTCCTTGGAAATGACAGCCTCCACGATCATTCATATCAATGAGGCATAAAAAAGGAGGGGGTATATGTACACCAAAGGTGTTCGATGCTGCCATGAAGGAGCTCCAGACCAGAGGCCAAGTCAAGGAGCAAATGAAAATAGATGGTGAGGTCCAACAGGTCCAACTCCTGTTGGTGAGTAGCATTGCACTGTCTACATCAAACATAAGACCTGTATTCAGTCTGAAGAGTCTGGCCTAACTATCCAAATAGGAAAAACTAAATGGATGACAAATACCCATTGTCTGGACTTTGAAATGCAGTTGAATGGACAATCTATGGCTTCCATGGAACTTGAATGGGGGAAAAATTACATTTTTCTTTTCTTTTTTAAAAAATTTATTTATTTAGTATTTTATTTTCCCCCAGTTACATGGGGTGGGTTGCTTGGGAGCATTCCCTAATGCCTCACAACAACCTTTTGAGGTAGATGCTATTAATTGTCCCCATTTTGCAGTTGGGTAAATTGCCCAGAGTCATACATCTAGTCAATATGTGAGTCTGAATTTGAACTCAGGTCTTCCTGACTCCAGACCTAGCACTTTATCCACCATGCTATCTTGTGCCTCTAGGGTTTGGATGAGGTGATCTCTAAAAAACCTCTCAGCTCTAATTCCTCTGACAATGCTCCCCCAGGGTGTCCAGACTTCACCCCATCCCAGAACACAAATGTTACCCCCTCTAAGTTTCTACTGTGCTCCAAAGCCTGGTTTATAGGCCCTTAGTTTCCTGTGTCCCTATTCTATGCCCAGGTCCCAGACCCATCCTCTTCTCTGTTTTGAGCCAGCTGCTACCACCCACTGTCTATTCTCTTTCCAGTGGCTCTTCCCCCTCCCTACACTCTGAGAAAGGTTCAGGTTCCTGTGATGGATGCTCTTACCTGTGATCAGGAACATCGCATTGATAGCACCACTGATTCATCTAAGAGAATAATCCAGGATGGCATGTTATGTGCTGGAACATCTGGCAGACTCCTGTTGGGTGAGAGGCTCCGTATGTTTCCTCTCTGTTACTCTTCCCCTTCAGCCGTGTTGGGCTCAGGAGTTCTCTTCTTTTGGGAACTCTCTGCTCCTAAGACCTCACTAGCAGCCTCTCTCTTGTCTTTCAGGGAGATCCTGGTGGACCCTTGGCCTGTAAAGTCCAGGACTCCTGGATCGAGGATGGGGGTGGTAAGTTGGGGAGAGGGCTGTGGTGTTCCCCAGAGGCCTGGGGTCTACACGCTCATCACAGCCTTTGTGGATTGGATCCACTCAGACATAAAGTGATTTCCTGGCTTGTTTTCTCTTACCATTCCTTGGTCCCAGCATCAGCTCTGGTCATAATCCTAGCCCTCATGTCTGATGGGAAAAAAATCAAACTGTATTCCTTACTCTTCCCCATATCATTAAATCCATGAATTTCGGACTTCTCAAAATATTTCCTTCCCTGAGACATCTTTTCCTCTTCTGCCATCTTTAGTGCCCAACAGGCTGTACAGCGCAGAGCTAAGAGCCTTGGACTGGAGGACCACCTGAGTTCTAGTGCTTTGCTCTTCTTTAGAGGCAGCTAGGTGGTGGAGTGGATTGAGTGGTGAGTCTGGAGTCAGAAAGATCAGAGTTCAAATTTGGCCTCAGAGATTCACGAACTGTGTGACCCTGGGCAAGTCATTTAATCTCTGTTTGCGTCAGTTTCCTGAACTGTAAAATGAGGATCATAACAGCACCTACCTTACAGGGTTGTTGTGAGAATCAAATGAGAGAATATTTGTAAAGCTCTTGGTTCAGTGCCTGGTGCACAGTAGGTACTATATAACTGCTTATTTCCTTCCTTTCTTCCCTTCTTCCACTGATTCCCTGTGTGACCTGGAGTGTGTTCTCTCCTCTCTGTGAGCTCCAGTTTCCCTTTCTGTAAAAAGACCAGGGGCTTGAACTCTTCTGGCTCATAGTGGCTCATAGTGGATAAGTTTTTGGACAAATTGCCTTTTTGTCAGTATTTTACTTAAAATTTTAAAATTGTTGTTCATAATGGTATTTATCTGTAGTTCTCTTTCTTTGATTTATCCTTCCCCGTTTTTGGTGTTACAACTATATTTGTCTCATAAAAGGTTTTTGGTATTCTAGATCAGGCCAAAGCTAGGCCAATTCAGTAATTCAAGCTCAGGGGTTAAACTGAGGTAAAGCATTCACAAAACATAAACTATTGAAAATAACTTTACTCTGGGACAATTAAGAGCCAACTTCAAGGTTTAAAGGACAAAAGAGTTATTCCCTCAATTCTATAATCACCAGGCATTCAAGAAATTCAGAGGAATGTCCCTACAGGTAGAAAGAGCTTAGACACCAGACACCTTAGCCAATTTTTGCAATTTTGCTCCCTCTTCACTTTTGTTATTGTTGTTCAGTCATTTTTCAGTGCTATCCAATTCTTTGTGACCCCATTTGGGGTTTTCTTGGGAAAGATGCTAGAGCGGTTTGCCATTTCCCTCTCCAGTGCATTTTACAGGTGAGGAAATTGAGGCCAACAAGGCTAAGTGTCTTTCTCAGGGTCACATGGCTAGTAAGTGTCTCAGGCCAGATTTGAACTCATGAAGATGAATCTTCCTGACTCTAGGCCTGGTATTCTATCTATTGTACCACCTAGCTACCTCTGGAGTCAGGAAGACCTGAGTTCAAATCCAGCTTTAGACACTCACTAGCTGTGTGACCCTGGGCAGATCACTTAACTCTGTTTGCCCCAATTTACTCACCTGGAGAAGGAAATGGCAAACCACTCCAATATCTTTGCCAGGAAAACCCCAAATGGGGTCCCAAAGAGTCGGACCTGATTGAAATGACTGAACATCAAAAACAACACTCTACTAGTTTAGTAACCCTGTCAAAGAAGCAAATGAGTTTAGTCTAATGTCACCTGTTCTTGATGAAGACAAACCAGGTCTTTATAATCAGTGATTTCTTTTCAGTGTGTTCTCTAACCATCTTTTTAATGATCCATTCTAGGATCTTCCCAGAAATCAAAGTCAGTCTCCCTGGCCTATAGTCTTCAGACCTAATTTTCATATCTTTTTTTAAAATTAGAACAACATTTGTGTTTGCCCTTCCCATTTTTCATGATTTTTCAAAAATCTAGGCAGTGGCTCAGCAATCACAACCACTAGTTGTTTAAGGATCCAGGGATGAAGCTCATCTGGTTCAGGAGACTTGGCCATGAAAGCATTACATCGTGATTTTGGATATTTAGGTCAGAAGAGAACACCCAAGCTAGTTAATCATGCAGATACAATTAGTAAGAAGCAGACTCTACTGGCCAAAGATGGCGGGCAAAGTCTTTAAGAAGTGAGAGACTTTTCTCCATTGTATTCAAAGGAAGGTGTTTTCAACTTGTAGCACTTGTTCTTGTACAATGTAAGCTTGAGCAAGCTACCGGGGCTTGTGAGGAGACATTTTATGTCTGGAAGGAGAAAGGAAGAATATGAGCAATCTCCTAGAGGTGAGTGACCATTTTACCTGATATGTATAAACCATGTTTCAACAGCTTAAGGAAAAAGTAGCTGGTAACTACTTGGAAATGTCGCCATACCTAGAGGACCTCACTGTCTTTGGAAAGATTTTTGAAGGAACATGATGAAAAACTAATGAAAGTTTTAGGTTGGCTAAATGGAGCTGGCTTGAAGCTATCAATGGCTAAATGCCAATTTAGCAGAGCCTCTGTCAAGAGCCATGTCATACATGGCTATTTACTGTTTCAGCTTGAGGATCAATACAGAGCCAGCAAAGATAGAAGCACTCTTCACCTGGCTACACCCAAAGAACTAAAGACTTTTCTAGAATTTTTGGCTATTATAAATAATGTGTGCCGAATTATTATCATTATTAAGCTAACTGATGCTCATTCTTGAAGATTTGTGGTTGAGAAGGACTGAAAGCAGAAGGGTCTAAAAGGTCAATCTGTCTTGATAATTGAGATAAGAAGTATGAACAAGATTTTCAAGATTTCATTAACTATCTCATTATCTCATTCAGGCACAAGTATTGGCTTATGCACGTGCACTCAAGCCCTTTGGGAGTGATCTTATACCAAGAAAATGATAGTCATTAGAAACCTATTGCATCTGTCAACAGAGGAGTTATTGACAGAGAAACCTGCTTATTCCATGAACAAAGTAGAATTTTTGGCTTTGAAATAACTGATCACTGATAACTTCCAAGACTGTGTATAGATTTCAATTTCAAGTGTGTACAGACAATGATACATTGATTTGTATATTTTGACTAGCACTAGATGGGATTCTGCTTGTCAGAGATTGGTAGTCATGTTAGGCAAGTGTGAATTCAGCATGTGCCATTCAATAGGAAAGACTACTATGGATGTAGATGCCTTTTCTCAAATGCCACTTGAATTCAAAGCTATGATAAAACCCTAGAAGGAGTGAAGATGATGTATGACATGTAGAGAGACGATTGTCAAATTCCAAATGAAAATCACCCATGCTGTAGGTTTCTCACATTTCAAAGGCTGTCTTAGCTACTGGATCATTAAGCTGATGGGGAACTCTCCTGATCAAGCAACCTTGTATAGATGAAGAAATTCAGATTCAGAGAAATACAGTGAGTGGCTTACCTGAAGTCACACAAGTGCTGAGAGGCAGAGAAAAAACCAGTCCCTCCGTTGTACTGGGATAACATTTGCAGGAAGCCATAGTTTTGGTGAGACTAGCTAGAATTTTGGTTCAGAAGAACCTTGGCAGAAATGAATGATGATATGATACTCAAGTTCATTCTCCATTTTCAGCTCAATAATTATTTCTGTTGTCCTCTTTTCCACACCTACTCATAGGTAGCTGAACACAGCTGGAGGAAGTCTTACAACTGTGCTGATCGGTACATTACCCACTGGGTACATTATCCATTCATGTCATCCAGCTTAGAGAGTCAAACCTTCTCTTCTCTCCTCAAGCCTCCCACACCTTTCTTGGCTGACAACCTTGCCTCTTACTTTATTGAGAACATTGAGGCTGTTTAATTCAAGCTCTCTCTTTTTTCCATTCTCTTCCTCTCAAATCTCCCACTCTCCACCTTTCTCTCAGTCTCTGAAAAAGATGTAGCCCTTGTCCTTGACAAGACCAGCTCCTCCATTTATACACTTAATCCCATTCCTTCCCATCTCTTTCAGCACAATACACCCTCAATTATCTCCTCCCCCTTTCTAATCTTCAAGCTTTCTATCAACTAGATAAGTTCTTCCTCTATCTTCCTATGTACTAGATTATGTTCCTTCCTAACTGCCTTCAAATGTGCTCATGTCTCTTCTATTCCTAAAATCCCTTTTCTGGACCCTATTATCCCTCAAGATATCGTTCTAAATCTCTCCTTGAAAAAGCTTTCTACACTTGAGGCTTCTACTTTCTCTCACTCCTCAAGCTTTTGGAATCTGGATTTTAACCTCTTCAGTCAACTGGAACTGCCCTCTCCAAAGTTACCAGTGATTTCTTAGTTTGCCAGTCTTTTGTGTTTGGCTCTGTTGACCCCATTTCTCCTCCTAGATACTCTCTTCTTATTATGTTTTCATGATACTACTTTCCCCTGTTTTTCTTCCTCTTTGTCAGCTCCTTCTCAGGCCCTTTTATAATGACAATGATAATAACAGTAATAATGATAACAACTAACATGTATGTAGTAGTTACTATGTGCCAGACAGTGTCCTAAGCACTTTAAAATTATTATTTCATTTGATCCTCATAACAACCCTGGGAGGTAGATGCTATTATTAGCTCCATTTTACAGATGAGGAAACTGAGTTGAGCACAGGTTAAGTCATATAGCTATTAAATGTCTGAGGTCAGATTTGAACTCAGGTCATCCTGACTCCAGGCCCAGCGCTCTGTTCACCATATCACACTCCCTAACTACTCCATAAGTATTTCTTAGTGATGACTGGAAAAAAAAAATCAGCTCTCCGACCCTAGGGGAGATTTCTAGGGGTCTGGGGGGGGGGTAGTGGACTGGAAAAGGCTGATAGAAAGGACATTGAGGAAAATTCCAGGGGTATACTGGTAAATATTTAACAACCAGCTCACAGGGAAAAATGTACCCATGACACACTTTTAAGTTCGACTTGCATTATTAAAATCTTTTTCATTTTCCCCTCTCTTTATGCTCTCTCTCTGCCTTTATCCCTCTGCCTTTTTCTGTTT